ATATATATATATATTATATATATATATGTTCATTACACAGTTGAATCCAACTTTAAATAATTTTCTTTTACATCAAAAGTCCACACATGCTGGTTCAATTACTTTACAACCCAAATGAAAAGATGAATTATTATTCTCTACTCTGTTATTACAATACAATCTGTAATTATTGTACATTAAAAGTCACCAATATACACACTTTATGGCTAAACTCACGATCACCCAGTCTATATCTATCTATCTCTCTTTTTCTTTTCCTTAACGTCCTTAATCCATTCTTCGTAGAGACTGCTGGTCATCCATGCCCTTTTATTCTATATGTAGGTTACAGAAAGGGCAGTTTTCTGCCCATTACAAAAGCAAGGAGGATTTTCATGATGACCAATGACAAATGGCTTTTCAAACTCTCCCACTGCATTGGTGCACAGTGCAACTGTAATGCAATCTGATCTATTTTTTGCCTTTGGCCTGCTGGTCACCACTGCAACAAGTGATCGATCTGGCAATGTGCTATAAAACAAGCAAGATTCATCCATGTGAAAAATGTCTTTTTCATGGTAACCTTTGATCAAAGGTGGGAGACGTGGGCACTACTCATCAACAGTGTCAGGGTTGATGCCCGATTTCTCTCCTGAAAGAACTGCCGCACTGATTAGATGCCTGTTTTTAAAGTTATTGAGCCAACCAATTGATGCTTTGAATTTAGTGACATCAATATCTGCTGCAAAAATACTTTGATAAACAAAGATTTTGAGTACTTACAGCGTTACGAGTAATAGTAAAGTTATTTAATAACATTTTGAAAAGAAACTAAAAAGTCATAACATGTGCACTTTAACCTGCCCATGGCAACAGGGTTAACTATCCATTTTATCTAGTGCCCATATAGAAAATTAGACTAAAGACATTGCCCTTAACCTGGAATATCGAGAATCCTGTTATTGCAAGATTTATTTTGGTTACAAACATTAGAAAAAAGAAAGAGACTGAAAAGGTCAGCCTTTAATGGCATTGTGTATGTTATATCAAGTTGCTTTTTAACCAAGGATCTACTGTATTATGTACTGCTAATCATGAAAGCATTGTAATGTTTACTGATAACCTACCAAATTTCATTAACATATGCTTACTAAATTAAAAATTATAGCATGGAAACCATAACATGCACAAAATGGTTACAAGGTCAGTTCCAGGGACCAAACCTGTGCTGAAAGATTTAAGGGTAAAAAAAAAAATTATACAAATAATTTAAACACCGGACTGAGTCGTTTCAGAATACTTGTAATTAGAATAATTGAAATATTTCTAGAATGTAAAAAAATGGCCTCCCTTCTAAATATTTTTTTAGGTAAAGCTAAATTAGCTCTTTGCTATGGGCATCTTTTTCTGCACGTCATATGATTTAGTAAATTACGTTTAACAAAATTTAAACTACTTTCTTATCACATTATATGAATAAATTTGGCATAAAAACATACCTAATAATTAACATTTTAATAGTATATAAGTGTTAAATTCTTAATTTTATATAGAAATATTTTTTACAAAAATCCTGAATTCCCCTAATATGAGAATTGTGACATTTTCTCTCTAGGCATCCTCTCTTCTCTAATTTATTTACCACCTCTCCAAGAAGTACATTATTTAATGCATTTTCCTCAGTATAATCTTTTTATCAATCAGGCAAAGCATAATTTTTATAGCCTTCAATCTTATTTAGTTACAGAGTCATCAAAAAGGACCCCTCTTGTCATGCCCACCTGTCTACATCCTCTCTTTCACAAGTTGCCAATAGTTCTCTCTGATGTTTATAACCAATAAATTCCAATATTTTAATCTATCAAATGACTTATTATATTACATTGTTTTCTTTACAGGGAACTGTCTATTTTGCTTCCAGTTCAAACTCTATTCCCACGGAAAACACATCAATAAACTTAGGTGAATTTTTAAGGGCTCTTGTCTCATAGTTAGAAAGCCAGAAAATTTGGTATAGTTATGTGGCATCGTCTGCTGTTTAGATGTGCTTATTCTGTGTTCCTTAGTGCATTACTTAATTAAATAAAAAATTGTTTAGTGCAGCAGTACTATTAGTATTAAAAAAGTATGGTTAAGTGTCATCAACACTAATCAGCAAAAATAATTTCTTGTTTTTCATGTGTATTCTTTATTCACTGCTACAAAAGTAACTAAAATGCAAAAATTAAAAAAATTTTAGGTTAGATACGGTTATATTAAGTAAAATAAAGAATATTAATAAAAAAATTTCACGAGGTACACTCACGATAAACATGCAAGTAGCTTGTGCATCATGTAATTCAATAAGGTGACAGTTCATGTTTTTGGTGGTTACGATTTCAGTCAAATTAAACAACCTCATAAAAAGGCAGGATAGAGAAAATAACAAATGAAATATATAATTTTACTGAAAACATATTTGAAATCTATTTAGGAGGTTTTTAGAGATTGCACAAATGAAATTTGAGATTTTTCAGATGAAAAAAGTATTTTTAATCTTAACATGAAAATAACTTTGCAACCACTTTGACTCCATATATTCATGGAGAAATTTTTGTAAAAATACTTCATTAAAAGTTCTGATTTTTTGTTTACAAATGACTCTTAATAATTACTGAAAGCTTGCAAAATTTTCTTGAAGATACACAAAACATATTAGAAGTTATCGTATGGAAACCATAAGGTTCAATAATGGGTCATGAACTCTGTCAATTCGACCAAACCTGGAGCAAGAAGGTTAATATTAGAAAGATCATATAATTTTGAAAGAACATGCTTTGGAAACTGTACACATTTTAAACTACAGCACAATATTTATTAAACTATGTAAACCCTGTTTTATCAACTTTGTTCTCTCACATGGCAATGCATTTAACGTATATATGGAATATCATAAATTATGTTTTTTAAAGACACAATAATAAAAAAAACTTAGTTTTTCTTAACAACTGGTGTCACTCTTAAAACATAAAGAACAAGAAAACTTACATGGTGGCAGGGCTGTCAGCAGCTTGGGCCACAGTAGGATCTAAATGAATCTTACAAGGTCGGCCATGAACTTGCAAAAACTGTGCTGGATCTAATTTCTGCAAAATTAATTTAAAAAATGTCATTTTTCACAACTATGATTAAACCTACATTCAAACTATCAGAGCTTAACTTTTTCATACAAAATGGTAGAATATTAAAAAGAAATACACTGACTGATTCTAACTTTCAAATCTTGTATATTAAGCCATTATTACAAGCATGGATACCCAATATACTAGGAAGTGAACAAAAAATATTTTGACAAAAGATAAAATTGTGTTAAGCTTTTTTTTTTCAAACTAGTACACAATTTCATTATCAGCTTTTCTTGCATATTGTTTTGATGCTATTAAAAAATATACATGTACTTTTGAATAATTGGACCTAGAAAAAAAAGCAATAACATTAATGAAATATGTGGTTTTTGTAGCTTTACTTCTTAAATATAATTGTTTTATCTACATGGGTGGAGGATAGCCATTTCTGGAGAGCAGGGCATAAGTAATAAATTGAACTTCAGTACTAAGCTAGTACAAACTGTGTAAAGTTTCCATCATACAAGCATTAGTTTTGCTCTTGATATTGAGATTTACATTACATTTCATTACAAAAAAATGAATATTGTTAATTTTTATATTATTAATTGCACAACTGTTTTTGCAATCAAAGAAGTATCTTTGCTGTCTCACAACAGTACATGTAAAATCAAAACTGCAATTACACACAAATAAGAATTTCATGGTTCTTGAATGGGCTTGCAGTAGTTGACCTTCTATTTGAATGACTCAAGTTGTTGACTATTGAAGAGAAAATAAAAGAATATGTCATCATCATCTCTGGCAGTGACTCAAAGTTCAATGATATCACAGTAAGATATAAACAGATGGCTACCTAATATTTGTAAAAGAGTTCCACTGAATGGGAATGAGTTAAGTCAAAGAATAGCAACTCATAAAGCAAAAATCTGCTGGCACTAAGATAAAAAGATTAATTATTAAGACTGACGAAGATAATAGTTTTACAGCAGCAGCTGATAAAATATTGGTAAAACATAAAAATTTTTAAAATTCATTTGCAACTTATATTTTGTAAACATGATAATTTTAAAGCCTCCAAGGTACTGGAATATGTACTAAAACAATAATTATTGCATTAGAAGAGAGAAAACAGTTCCTAAAGTACATCTAAAATGTAACAGAAGATTACTACAGTAATAGAAAGGGTAAGTTTTCTCAGTTAACATACAAAGCCGCATGACCAGGAACATAAAAAAGAAAGACATCCTAGCACAATTTGAAAAAAAAAGTTAGGGCAAAAATATGGCTGAATTTTGCTCTAAAAGTAGGGTTAAGAGTGGTAAGACAGCAAAATTTGTAATCAATGCCAAAGCTTGTCCGTATTCAATGAATTACCATAACTTCAGGCTACGTTACATGCATTAATAAAACTAACTTTTCTCATCAGTTACAATTACCTGAACAAATTATCAGATTCAAGGTAGATCACACTAACAGTCAATAATGATGACTAAGTTAAGATTTTAAAATCTGAGTTCTCCAGATAGTGATATTCACTTACCTTAAATTGACTTAATGTTAAGACCCATTTTGAAAAAAATACTTACTGCTTACCTTATGTTTGAAAGGAAGCAATAAAGAAGTACAATGTACATGTACAATTTCTGATCTTTATGTACATTTACTTAAATATCAATCATATATAAGGAATAGAATTTCATACTATATATTAGTACAATGAATCCTTGAATGGAAAGAATCCTTTAGCTAACTTCACTAGGACAATGAAGTATAGCTAATAAGGAACATTTATCTTCAACAGCTTCAATCAGAGTTCGTAAATGCAGGTCATGACCTTAACTTTTAACACACTAGCAGATAGGTGCTAGTTATTTTTTCCTACTAGTAAACTCATGATTGCTACTAGCAACAACATACTTCTTCTCTGTTATTTAATGTATTAAATATTAATACAAATGACAGAGGCTAATATTGCCTATTTTTGGGTTGTTAAACAGCTTATAAATCCAAAATCTAAACTGAAAAATACATGTTCCACTGGTCACAATGTTAAAAGGCTTATACAATTATAAAAACATCATGTTTATCATTCATTAATAATACTGACACAAAAGTTACTGAATTGCACTTTTCAGTCATTTTATAATATATAAAAATTTAGTATTTTTTGTTTGCTGTAGTAAAATAAGAATATATAAAAATTTACGGTTTTAAACTTTTAAAATTTATTTCTATGGCATGTCATTACATTCTATTCCGCTCTTTCTCCTGAGCATATATTAATACAACACAACTGAAATGTTAACATTATGGTCTGCGAGTTCAGCTGTATTCAAAAGTAAGTTTCTTATCAATAATGCACATAACAATGTATCATTCACATACAGGCTCAACAATTAATGGTTGTTCACTGGACCATAACTACAAAACCAAAATTCTTGTGACATTATTGATTTCCAGATATTTACCAAAAGGAATTTATATTAGAAGAAAATAATTGGTTTGTAAGCAGTTTGTGCAGTTGTAAAACAGAAACAGATTTTTAATTTTCTTCAAATGATAATTTTCTCAGTAACTGCATATTTATCTCAAATACATATGTAAATTGCTTTGTTGAATAAATACTTGAATTGCATAATTTGATTTCTCAGATTAGCTATTCAAACAGCTGATTTTGAATATGTTTTAATTCTATGTAAAATAACTGCTACCCCAGCATCTGTAAAAAAAACTACAGTTAAAACCTCTGTGTGAATTAATTTTTGAACATACTTTATAAACATTAGAATTATAAAACTAAAGTGAAACCTTTCACTGCATCACTTCATTTTTTATAAAATTTATGAACTGAAAATATATCTTTAAGAAAAGTGAATATATTATGAATGAATAGGTGCATTATTTTCAAAATTAAATTTTTATGATAACCAAATAATTCACTGTATTTAATCATTAGCAGCATTTTTCACACTAGTGTTTTGCTGGACTTTATTCTGCCTGGAGCACTATAACTTAAAGCAGTGTGATGCCCTTGTAATACTTTGTGACATTAACTAATTTTACTAATACTTTTACTTCAAGATTTAAAGGTTTTTTTCTTTTTCAATGTATATGATCAATAAAGGATATATCATTCACTGCTGAGGGCCACCCTATATTAAAAAGTATTTTATTATTAAAATTTAGGGTTTAAATGCCAAAACATAGTGAACCATCAGAAGAGCTGCGAGTGATGTTATCCTCATTAGAACTGCATGATACACTGGGACCAAGTATCAAAAAATGGGAATGTTGGATAGCAAATTTAATTTAATTATTTGCCAAGTCAATTAGCACTTGGGCTAACCAACTAGACTCGCACCATTTGGTGTCTGCAGTGCAATTTTTCTGGCAGTATGGATATAAATTCTGTACTCAAATTATAATCATAAAATAGAAACCATGCAAAGTGTAAAAATTTTTTTTTCCCACATTCCTCTTAATTTGTGTATGATTAACATAAATATTAGGCCTTTTGGGATGAGCAAGTGGAACAATCTTGTTAATCACAATTATAGTATCCTTTTGTACTCATTCTTGCAGTATAAGTGACTGAAATGTATCACAGTGTATTAATACTCAACAATAGGAATCTTCAAATATTCCTTACAAAATGTGCTCTACCTATTTTTCGATGTAAAGCCTTCTACGTTTTACTAGTAAAATTGCAATACTAACCAGCAGTTTGCTAGTTTGATAGCTTTAATTTAAAGCTCAACAGTGTTGGTCAAATCTAGGATTGTGGGATACTGCACTATGAACCTTGGTTCTGATTAACAAAACAATATACTATTACATTTAATGACAACAAGAGACCTCTTGGACCATCTAGACTGTCTCATCCACTAAAATAAATTATTAAAACAAAACTCAAAGCCAGCCTTTATCATTCATATACGTATCAAGCTTTCCCTTAAGCTCACTTAAGTTTTAATGCCCCCACAGCATCTGATGGCAACCCTTTCCAGAGTCCAACCACCCTGTTAGAAAAATAAAACTGTCTTAACTGAAGATGACTCCTACCTTGCCAAAATTTATGTGTCCCCTAGTTCTACTATTTTCACCATTAAGTATGAAAAAAGATGATGTATCAACACTATAAATTCCCTTTCCAATCTGAAA